GTGGCTTGTTTGTTGACCAGTGAATTAGCCTAGTTTCAAAGACAGACATTCCTTAGGTCAGTGGTTCCCAACCTTGGGTAACCCAGGTGTTCTCAGACTGCAACTCCCAGAAACTCCAGCCAGCACATCTAGTGGACAAGGCTTCTGGGAGTTGCAATGAGTTGGAGGGCTTTTTCCCCAGTGAGAAGCTAGTGTACAATAGTGGTGTGAGTGTTACTCTAGGGCTTGGGAAAGCACAATTAAAATGCATATTCACCTATGAACTTCACTGCTACTGTGAACCACTCACCATTGTGTAACAGAACCTATCTCACAAGATTGTTGTTGCTATAAAAATGCAAGGAAGACCATGTACATTGCCTTGAGCAAGATGATGATGATACTCAGAGGGCACTCTCCAAAATTTCTATTCTTGAAATTCTTTGCTGATTCCAAGGGTTCACTTCCTGCAAGGACAGGAAGGAAAAGGAAAAATGTTGCAGCACATGAGAAAAATGAAAATTTGAAACAGAATCCATTGGCAAAGTCTACTTCCACCCAATGTTTGCCTGCTTCACTTCCAAATGTGATCAAATAGCAAAGGTGGGGTAAAAATATTTAACTAAAGAAAATAAATAGTGAACATTATAGGAACTTAGGAATAATGAAATTCAAGTAACACATCTATGAGGGAGAGGTAATGAAGACATAACAATGTTACATTTTAGGGCAGTGTTAGACAGCACTTTATTGCTGTAATAGTAAACATTTTAAACCCTGCTTTTAAATGTTACCTCTAAAGAACATTTTTGGCATACTTCAGGTATCATGCCTTTTTCTAATTAATGAGGTTTTAAAAAATAACACAAAAGCAATTAGTATGGAACCAAATGTTGCAACATATACATTTAATATTACAACAATAACTACTTTTCAATACTGCGACAAGTTAAGATAAGTAATTTTTTTTAAAAAAATAACTTTCCAAGTTCTGGAGAGTTGGAAAGTTACTTTAAAGGCTCCTAGAGAGTCTGATATGAAAGGATGCAAAACCCACCCAACACAACACTTTGGCCTGATAGTTCAGCTCCTGATACTATCTTTTTCACCAGTACTGCCTTGTGATAGAATGTCTGATTCCACAGAAACTCATAATTCTGCAGTACTAGCATCTACTCTCTTTCTTCGTGTATGTGAGTGTGCACATGTGTGAACACATATACGTGTGTGAGAGAGAAAGAGAGAGAGAGAGAGAGAGAGAGAGAGAAAATAAGTTTCCAGTGGATCATAGGTCTAATAGAGATACTTAAGACTGCACTCTCATGAACTGCTGTAAAAATGTCCCTGTGACTCTATCTGGGCATTTTTGTGATAAAATAAGTTGTACTTGAGCAATGGCAGATGGTAGTACTGTAATTCAGAGAATGGGACAGATACAGTGGTACCTAAATTTACGAACTTAATCCGCATTGGAACGGTGTTCATACATCGAAAAGTTCGTAAGTCGAGGCAATAATTTCCCATAGGAATGCAGTGAAAAGCATTTATTCCATTCAGGCTGTTTTTCATTCGAATGTCGAGGCGCTGTTCGTAGGTAGAGGCATTAGTTCCCTTAGGAACTAATGCAAAACCGGTTAATCTGTACTCATCACTAGGGGGAGAATTTTTTATTTTGTTTCTTCTTTTGGCCTAAGATGAACTTAGGTTAAAAAAAGGCAGGAAAGGGTTTTTTCAGGTTTTTTTGTTGGTAAGTCGAGGCTCCATTCGCAAGTCAAAGCAACATTTTGCGAACGGAGCCATTCGTAACTCGAAACGTTCGCAAGTGGAGACATTCATAAGTTGAGGTACCACTGTACCTAAAATGAACCATAAGCTTAGTGTTCATATTAGAACACATTTTTAACAGCATAGAAAAGAACTCAGAAGTGCTGTCATTTTCTTCCCAAGAAAAAACCACACACCTAAAGTATTTTAATGGGATCTAGGCCGTGAATCATCTTGGACAGAATCCCCCTTTCCCATGTTGTGATAGGTTATTTGAGAAAAGCACATCTTATCATATCGGTCAGTCCTGTCAACACCTATATTTTTGTCTCTAAAAATGGTCTGGGTGAATTCGTGATCCATAGGCTTATTTGGGGCTACTAGATATAATATTTAAATGGACCTTCAGAGGCAATTGACACCTCTAGTTTCTCAGGGTTTCAGATGAGCAGGGAAGGAGAAGTATTGTCCTCATGCCCTTCCTGTGGGCTTCCCAAAGCTACCTGGTTGTGGTGTGTTAGAAATAAGATCCTGGGTAGGATAAAGCCTTGGTTTCTTCCATCAAGGTTATGTTCTTATTTTTTATCTTGCTGTATTTCCAATATGGTTCCACCTCCAGGAAACACAGAGGACCTCAGACAATGCCCATTCATTTCTGGTGTTCCATATTGTATCTTGGCACTCTAAGTCCTTAGACAGTTCAACTTCTGACCTTGCTTGCGATGTGACAGCTGCTTGTTCATTCCAGACTGAAATTTAGCTGGACATTTTCATTGAGGCCATACCCCTTGCATTGGACTGGAGCTCATTCCAGTGGTTGCTGCTCTAATTGGATATAAACAATACTGAAGCAGGATATTCCCAGCTGAGTTTAATAAATGAAACGAAAACAGAGGACAAAAACAAAATTGAGAAGGCAGCTGATTGAGGGACAGACCCAACTGGCATAATCTCTAGTGTGCATGATAGGAAGGGTTTTAAAGAGAATATTTATAGAATAAAAACTGTAAGGCAATATGCAAGGAACAGCATTCCCAATGTGGTATCTTCTTGATTTGTTGGTCTATGACTCCCGTTATCCCTAGACAGTTTGGCTAGTGTCCTGGTAAATGCTGTTGCATGTATAGAATGTGAAATTGTGTTTTCCACTTCTTACTTTCTTGCATATCTTGCATTCTTTTTTTAAAGCAAGCAAATAGAGAAATATAATTAAATGAAATATAATTAATTAGAATATAATTAAATGAAAAACACAAGTTATACAAACTTTATAGCTATAGCAGAAAAATAAAATATAAACACACAAAGCAAATATATATAACAGAGTCTAGGACTTAAGGCAAGACATATGAGCTTGTCTAAATTGATCAGCTTTCCCAGAACATTTGGCCATATTAACCATTACAGATCTGCTTATGCAATTGTTATTATGTGCTGTTAAGTTACCTCTGACTTATGGTGACCCTATCAATGAATGATCAGCAGAATGCCCTGTCCTTGAATTCCCTGTTCAGCTCTTGCAAACTCATGCTTGTGGCTTCCCTTAGGGAGTCAATGGATCTCATATTTGATCTTCCTCTTTTCCTGCTGCCTTTCAGCATTATTGTCTTTTCTAGAGAATCCTGCCTTCTTGTGATGCATCCAAAGTAGGAGATCCTCAGAATCAACATTTTTCCTCCACATAAAGTCAGGAATTAATTTGATCTAGGAGTCATTTATTTGTCTTTCTGCCAGTCCAGGGTATCTGCAAAGCTTTCTTGTAGCAACACATTTCAAACAAATCAGGTTTTTTTTCCTGTCAGCTTTCTTAACTATCCAGGTTTCACACACATGATGATCAGAAATGCAAGAATGTGGGTGATCTTAGTCTTAGTCTCCAATGATACATCTTTACACTTTATAATTGTGGTGTTCACTCTAAGTTATATGCATACATTATATGCTAATATGGTTGTGAGGCAGGGTCAAAGGGGCTGCTGAAGAGGCACAGCCTGGGAGAGAGGAGTTCAGTCAGAGTCAGAAAGAGCTAGAGAAGAGAATAGTTTGGGGTTTTGAGGCAGAGAGTGTTTAAGGAGTGATTAGGCAGTGATTAGTCAGAGTGTGACCATTGTTAATTAATATAGAAGAGATTAAAGTAAAATGTTGAAGCTTTGAGGAACTTTAAGAATGCACTTAAGAATTTTACCTGAAACCATGTGTAATCAATAAACCTGTTTCTGTTAAAAAGTCAGTACTGGATGAACCTTAGTCTTTCATAAGAAATAAGTTGATAAAGAGATGTTGGCAGCATGTCAAGAGGCATGTTGCGATACCTCCATGAGCTCTGGGGTTTGGTGAAACAAGCAGGGGCCACAGGGTAAACGTCACAACGATCTTTCCTAATTCCTTCATTGCTGCCCTTCCTACTCTCAGTCTTCTGATTTCTTGGCTGCAGTTTCCATTGTGATTGATGACTGAAACAAGGTAAACACAACCAGTTTCTTCATTGTCAACGTTGAAATTGTGTAGTTCCTCTGTAGTTATGATTTTGGTCTTCTCAATATTCAGATGCAGTTCTACTTTGGCACTTCCTTCATTCACTTTCCCTGTCATTTCAAATTTCTGCTGCTTTCTACCAGTAAGATGATGGATCTGTGTCTTTTAAATTATTGATGTTTCTTCCTATCATTTGCACTCTTCCTTCATCTGAACCTAGTCTGGCTTTCTGTATTATATTTTCTGTATACGAATTGAACAGATAAATGAATAAAAGTCACCCTTGTTTGACACCTATGCCTATGGGAAACCATTCTGTCTCTCCATACTCTCTCCTAACATAAGCTTCCTGTCAACAATACAGGTAACTTATTAGGACAATAAAGTGCTGAAGCAAACCCATTTCCTTCAGAACAAACCATAATTTCTCATAATCCATACAGTCAAAGGCTTTGCTGTAATCTATAAAGCATAGACTGATCTTTTCCTGAAATTCTCCTTAATTTGTACTAGATGGCAAATATTTCACTTTATATGTAACATTAAGGGATATAAAACCAATGATAGTTTATCAACATGCTTTTTCCTGGGCATTTCAAATGCTCACAAATGTTGATCTCTGAAGATTTTCTTAAATCTAGGTAATGGTTAATATTAATTGCTGTCAAGGTTGTTCAGCTCTGGCAAGCCTCATAAGAGGGACATCTCTCAGATCATTTGATGAGCTTCTTCCATTGGTGCAAAGACCTCATTGAATCCTTATTTCCTTCTGTTTTTATGGACTGGACACACTTGTGAGGCAGGGAAGAAAGGTTTGATGGAAGTCACTCTTGTGTATAAACAACTGAAACAATGTAACAAAATGTAAGTACCAAAAAAGTACAAACTTCATTTTCTGTGAGTTTCTAACACCTTACACAGCATCATTAGATTTATGTCCCTTCTTTACATTTTCATGCTTGTAAGAATAAGAGATGTAATGATTTAATGTAATTAAATCTCTCTCTAATTCTTTTATCATGACACATTTTAACTATGCATTTTCTCTTTTCCACTGTCTGCAAGATGATGGAGATGACAGAGATGAAAGATATTGCAAGAGTTACACAAATGCCTGAAAGCATATTAATCACAAATTAATCTGAAAAACATTAAAACTAATCTCAACATCTAATGAAGCACTCATGTCTTCAGAAAGTAACACTGTAGGTAAGTTTATTTTTTAACATTAAAAAATAACCCCTCCAAAAGATAACTTCTGCTGGAAAAAAGAGGCATATTTGTGAGTTTCACTCCATTTTTTAAAAATGGGAGCTAATGGGAAAAGTACACAAAGGAATTTGGTCATGAGATGGGAGGTGCAGAAGAAATAAAATTCCAAATGTTCAAATAGATGGAAGGCTGAAGGGTATAGAATCCAGTGAAAATGAAGAAAGAAGGGGAGGTTTTGGGAGAAGAGGGAACAAAGTAAACCAATTAAAAGGACCCACAGGACAACTGTGGTTTAAGAAAATTAAATTATAGATGGGACAGAATAAAAATGGGACTGTTTTGAGTTTGGGAGGCATGGAGATGTTCTACTGTTAGTCAGAGCTAACTAATATGAATGGAAACTCAAGTGACAAACAGAACTGTGGAACTCACAAGAAGGGTGTTGGTTAGCAAGGATGGGTTGAAAGTTCCTGTGATAACAAAGGAAAGTTGTACAATGCATGTTCTCATATATAACCATACCTGTCATTAGGAGGTACCTAAGGAGGGAGGAGCTGAAGAAACCACATGGGACAAAGAATGCATCAGTGTTGGAAAAAAAATAAAGAACTGGATTGACCAAAAGAATGTGGAGTTTCCACAGTAACCGCATTGATTTATTTTATGGTAAAGCGCCAGGTGGGCTATCCATATTGCTATCCATGGTCCTGAAAATCCCATTAATCCTCTTCCACAGTTCTGATCCCATTGTATTTGAGAGATACGTTAGCTAGTGCCTTACTTGAAACACCTCTGTCTAAGCTGTTGTGTAGCATGGATGATAGAATCCCCACTCTAACAAAACAGCTGTGCCCAATTTTATCTCACCCCCTTTCTCCCTTTTAGCATTTTCTCCAGTCTCATAACAACAATTCAGCTTTCTAGCTCCAGCCATAGGTAACTGGATTCATGTAATATTTGCGTTCATATTCTTATTCATTCAAATGCCTAAGAGTGATGAGTGATCTTGGCAGTCCTTCTCTTTTGCCAATGTCTTGGCTTAACCACACAAATACACCCTAAATCACACCTTTAGGAATGCTTAGTGTTTCTTGTGGATTTTGGATATCTTTTTGTGGCCTGCTCCCTCACTCATCCTTCTCCTTTCTCTACTCAGAATTTTACTCCTCCCTTCTGTGGTAATACTGAAATTATCTCTCCTTCTAACCTCAACAATGCCATTTCTTGTATTAATTAATACTTCTAATACATACACATATGTAGGATCATTAAAGACTTCTAAGGATTTTTTTGGTTGTCATATCTTTAGTTTTTATCTGACTTCGGGAATTTTGTGGTTGAATTTGTTTTTATTTGTCATTTGCTTTGGGTTTTTTAATATTTTATGATTATTGTGAATTGCCACTACTTAATGATGGGATGTCAAGAAGAAATGTAGTCAATAATAATGATGATGTATGTATGTATGTATGTATGTATGTATGTATGTATGTATGTATGTATGTATGTATGTATGTATGTATGTATGTATGTATGTATGTCCTGTCTTTCTCCTTAAAAGCATCCAAGGCAGCTTGCATCATTTTTAAAAATCAGTATTTAAAAGCTAAAACCAATAAGTATACAAATATTAAATTCGAATTAAACAAGTATTATATCAAAATGATAAATATAAATGATATCAAACACATTTAAAACAACAGAGCACAGCAATCTATTAAAAAGCCCTCTCAGATCACTAGTTTTTAAGGAAAAGCCTGCTTGAAGAGAAGGATCTTTGCCTGCCTGTGGAAAGACAGAAAAGATGGGGCCAGGCTAGCTTCCCATGAGAGGGAGTTTCAGAGTCTGGGAGCACCGATAGAGAAGGTGCTCTCCTGTGTCGCCACCAAGCACACCTGTGAGGATGACAAGACTGAGAGGCCTCCCCTAATGATCATAGAGGGAGATGTGGTCTTTTAGATAGCTTGGATCCAAGCCGTTTAGGTCTTTATAGGTTTAAACCAGCACTTTGAATTGTGCCCAGAAGGATCAGCAGCCAGTGGAGCTAATGTAACAGGCGAGTTAGATGTTGCCTGTTGTGACGTTCCACCCAGTGTTCCCTGTTTGTTTTCCCCAAACCAAGGTTCACTCTGGTGATGTTTTCTCTTTCATCCGCTGCCACCAGTGGATATCCCTTATCCACACTTGCACAATACTTGAATCAGACACTTGCTGCCAACATAACTTGTTTATTTAGACTGAATTTGACTCACAGATGTTCTTTTTAATCATTGTATAGAATCACTCATTAAAATGTCTTATATTTGGTTACACGTTCTATTCTTCATTTGATTTATTCACTTTAACCAACTTATTAATAATATCAGTTCTCTCTAGTTCTCTATCTATCTACCTTGACTATTCAATTTCTCTCCTCCACACTCTCATTCTCTCTTTTCCTTCTCTCTTCTTAACTCCCTCTCCAACTAACTGCCTAACTGACTCCGCCCCTCCTGTCCTCTCATAGGCTCCTGCACTTGAGCTTCAGCTATGATTGACAGGAGTGACATGGGCATTCCGTCACACCTGTAACCAGTCCCAGTTAACAATCTGGTTGTGGCATTTAGAGTTTTCAAACACTTTCCAAAGGCAGTGTTATAGTGTTATAGTAATCCAGCAGAAGTGTAACTAGGGTATGTGTCACTGTGGCCAGATCAGACCTCTTAAAAAAAAGTGAGTGCAGCTGGCACACTAGTTTTAGCTGTGCAGTCCTTTGAGACATGATAATAGTAACAGCAGCAAACAACATTGTATCTAAGAATGAATGGTGATGGAATTACTGAATGGCAGTAATTCATTCATTTATTTCATTTGTATCCTGGTTTTTCTCCAGTGAGCTTAAGACAGCACATATTTTCTGCCGATCAACCCTGCAAAATAGGCCAGTTTGAGAGACCATAATTAACTCAAGGATACCCCTGAGTTTTATGGGCAAGTGAGAATTTGAAGCTGGGTCTCCCCAGTCCTCGTTAAACAATCTTAACTTGTCTTGTAATGCTACAAACTGGACTTGTCTCCATATTGGCACAAACTGTAATAAGGTCTGCTCTGACCAATCACATGGAAAGGCATTGTCAAAGTATTGCCAAATTATTTCTTTGGTTAAGGTGTGTGTCCTTCTGCCTTCTACCCTGACAGAAATAAAAGACATCACATATAAACAAGTTTTAGATAATTAGTAAACTGCTCATAACAATCTCAGGGATCATGCATTGCCAAGGGAATGGTAATTATAATGATTCAGGTGACATAAGGTACTGAATATGACAAACATTCTGGTGTCCAAATTCATCAGCCCAGAAAAAGTTCAACCCTTTTTATTGCCACATTTCTAATTGAGGCTAGTCACTATATCAAAGTGCAACCAAGTAGCAATTGTGGTAAGTCATTATTATATTTTGTAAGTACAACTTCTTGGAATATCTTGATGCATTTCTGTGTTCCCTCAAGTCAGTCACATTTTTTTATTTCCAGTGGGAATTGAAAAGGCAAATCAACGGATTTCTACACATTCTAGCACTGCTCATAGAATAGGGGGATCCCATTTAAGAGAGAAAATTGATTCTTTTATGAATGATTCAGAAAACGACATTTGAGTAGTACTGTAGTAACTTTTCTTACTTGCATGTGGCAAAATTCTCTCTTCTACTCTTATGAAGTACCACCTGTACCTTCTAATGGCATCAGAAGCTGAAAGAAAGAAAGAAAGAAAGAAAGAAAGAAAGAAAGAAAGAAAGAAAGAAAGAAAGAAGAAAGAAAGAAAGAAAGAAAGAAAGAAAGAAAGAAAGAAAGAAAGAAAGAAAGAAAGAAAGAAAGAAAGAAAGAAAGAAAGAAAGAAAGAAAGAAAGAAAGAAAGAAAGAAGCACAGTCGTTTGTTAACAATCTTCGCTTTCTACATCCAGGCAACAAAGACCAAACCATTCTCAATATAAAGAATGTTCAGCAGTGAAAAAGTAAAACCAAGATCTCCATTTCTGCACATTCCCATTGAAAACCAAAGCATTATATACTTCCTTGTCTTCCACTGGCAAATTGCATTGTTTGTGTGCTTGAAAGGCTGACAGTATAGCCAGCAGTGCAAGCGTGAATGCACATGCTTTCTGTGGTGGCTGAGATATAACCTGAGCCGTAACAAGTATCTTTCCTTGAACTGTTCTGTGATGTCTGTTAGAGCAAATTGTTTTCTGTTGTTGTGCTGAAAAGTTCTCCCCTCCCCAACCTCCACAGATACCTTTTCCTTCTCCCTCATCATGACAGACTAAAGAACTTGTTGGTGCTATAATGAAAGTCAGACCACACTCCCTGTCATGTCAAGAACGGTGCAGTCAGGAAAGTCGACATGATTTCATGGCTAATGATTCACTCGCTAATATCAATGTGGGCTGCAGTGAGGATAACCAAGTTGAGCTGTCTTAGATCAAATGATTCAATTAGGCCAGCTGTCCCTATTTGTCATGGCTCAACTCGCTTTCAAATTACCTTTCCAAAGTGCATACGTGCCTCAGCATAGAACTTAACGGCTCAACATTTCTCCTCCCCTTTAAAGTGGATATTTAGGTGAGAATTAACAGGAAACAGATTTTAGCCAAAAATGTGTGGAAATGACTCAGTAAGTCAAGGAGTAAAGATTTAGGGAAACATCACTCCCTAGGTTCAGCAATTTCATTTTGTTGATCAGCAAGACAGTTCCTTGGGATAAAGGAATCCAAGTAGATAACTTTTGAGTAAACATGCCTAGGATTGCACTGTTGATCTCTGATTGCATCCTCAAAGTGCGTGGGATTTTTATCGCTTTTAAAAAAATTGGGGTCTGCTTTCAAATGAAGCATCTTTCAGAATATGCAGAAAGTGGTCCCAAATCCTATTAGTTACATTAATTGGTGCAATGCAACTTGCTACAAGTTAAGAAGTTACTGTAGGTATTTGATGTTGCTCACCAAGTCACACAACAGCAAATGCCTATGTAACATCATAACCTGTGGCAATTTGACACCAAGATTTACACCAACTGTGTTATGCTGATGTAACTACCAACTATGACTTTGGCTATTTATCTCTCAGTTTTGCAGAAAAGTTGATTAAGTGAAACAACCAATTTGCACTTGAGAAAAATAGCTTCAAAATGATAACTGTAATTTCCATACGGTCCTAGGCAAAATTGATGGCATGTTGCCTTTTATGTTGGACAAAGTGTCTTCTCCCTGCAGCTCATAATCATAATGAATAATTAGGGATTTGACTTTCAAATCAAGAAAGGTGTATGCTGACAAATTGGAACAAGTTCAGGAGAGGGCAACAAGGATGATTAAGGGGCTATAAACCAAGCCCTGTGAGAAAAGACTGAAAGCACTGGGCATGCTTAGCCTTGAGAAAAGAAAACTGAGTGGAGATAGGATAGCACTTTTCAAATACTTGACAGGCTGTCATTCAGAGGAGGGGGGCAGGATATGTTCTTGACCAACCCAGAGTGCAGGACATAAAAATGGGCTCAAGTTACAGGAAGCTAGATTTTGGTTGAATATAAGGAAAAACTTCCTAACTGTTAGAGCAGTATGGCAATGGAGCCAATTACCTTGAAAAGTGGTGAATGCTCCAGCACTGGAGGCACTCAAGAGAAGTTTAGACAACCACCTGACAGATATCCTTTGATTTGTATTCCTTTATTGGTCAGGAGGTGGACTCAATGGTCTTATAGGCCATGATTACATGGTTCCAATCCAAAGCAAGGTAGTTTTTATAGGCCCCTTCCAACTTCATGATTACATGGTTCTAATCCAAAACAAGGTACTGGCCAGGTTATAAAATCCCAAAATATAGTTGGCAGTTGCCAGAAAGGGCAACTATGCCAAGTTGACTCCATTTCTGTGGACATCTTGGTTGAAGGTACTAATTAATGATGCCTTAAGAGGGAAAACTAGAAGGCATTACTAAATCAAGAGGACTAGGGGCAGGTCAAAAGATCATTTAAGTTTCATTTTGACTAGAATTTAACACAATTCTGAAAAGCCAAAATTCAAATATGGTTGGAGAAAAAGAAGCCAATAATAGACGGCAAACTGATTGAGTTCTGAAAAATGTCTCTGGCAGAGAAAAACTGAGGATAAATTAAATATTCTTGTTCCCTGCTGTTAGGAGTGATGGTTACTGAAAAAGGCTCACCCTCACCGTAGAGCTCTGCTGTTTCCTGATCTTCATCTGCTTCACCTAAAACAGGAGAAATTCATCAGGGCTGAACATTCAGGACAGGACTAATTTAGATATAAATCAGTTTGTTGGGAAATCAATCTTTTGCCTGTCTTTCTTCTTGTACTACGTATTTAGCATATCAGTATCCCAAGATCTGATAGTACCAAATTTAAACCCATCAGTCCTGGTGAATTTAAATTTGGGATAATTAACTCAATTTATTGTTGAGCAAATTTTGTAGTATTGAGTCAGACTGAAATATTATCTATGGAAACCTTAACCTCCTTCATAGTTCTTGCAGAGATCTGAAGAATTTTTCTTACAATATACGTTCTGAGTTTCACAATGTTTTAAGCAGCTCACCTAACTCACTATTATACTTGATTCTTACATATAGCTAGTCATTTCAGAAAGAATGCCTAATTCATGTCAAAATTCTTCTATTGTGAGAAATCACACACACTCCCTAGAGGTTAAGCCCATTTACTTCAAGTTGTTTGACCTGTAGAGAAGTCAATAACATTTTTATTTTTGTTTGATGTCCTCAGTATTCTTGGTATTTTTATCATTGGTTTGCTTGTTTGAAAGACCTATATACTTATTATCTACGGAACTAGTATTCTGTACTTGTTATTCTGCAGAACAATTGTCAGCTAATGGCATTAGGTGATTCTAAAGTGGAGAGTGTCCTCTTTTCCTGTCAGCATCATAATGTTTTCCTTCTCATTGATGCAAGTGCAAAGAAACAGGGCTTAGAAGTAGTTTTTTTTTGTTATGTTATCTTAAATAATTAGAAATAAAAGTTTTTTAAAAAAAGATGTATCTCGTTACAAATCATACAGTTGCATGTATCTAGTTGTTTTTCAGGTAATGAGGGCACGATCAAGTTACATTTCAAAATTAACACGACAGTTAAAAGGTACATTTTTGGTCTGCAAAAGTTATTTTTTGGAGGAATTTTAGGGTATTTTAGAGCATTTTACAGGAATTCTTTGAGTACTATGCACTCCCTTATTTATCTTAAGTGGCAAGGGAAGCAAATGTTTTATCATTCATATTTTTATATTTTGATGGAGCAATATCAGAACAAACCATTAGAGGGAACAATGATAACATTAAGAATTATCTAGCTCGCTTGAAGTAATGCAGTCAATTCTTTAAAAAAAGAATATTTCAAGATCTAGGAAGAAAAATAAGTGTGTACCCTAATTTCAAGTTTGTTATATTAATTTGCCTTTTTTTGGCTGCTGCTATTGTGGAAATCAGAGAGCTTTAAGTTCCGTAGATACAAGGTTTCCGCTGACGTGGGCCTTGAAGGCCCATGTTAGGTCCTGACTTCAAGAAGTGTAAATCCCTGAGCAGATGTGATGTTGAAAAATCCCACTACCCCTGGTAAGAACGCATATAGATGAGGGGCTCTTGTGACGAAGAGGGTAGACGTAGTCTAGATGGGCGGGATATAAATTGAATGAATGAATGAGGGCAGTGAGGAACAGAGCCAATTAGGAACTGATAAAGAGATATTTTTATGGAATGGGTACAGGGCAAATTGTATCAGTTGGATCCCACATTGAACAATCCTGCATGTAGTATGTCAATAGTGATTGTGCTGTCCACCAAAGTCAGACCCCTAATTAAGGTGCTTGACTTCCCCAGAAATCCTATAGAGATTTATAGACCTCCTAGGCAAAGAACAGAAGCCTATGGCTCATCATAGATGACATTATTTTAGCAATGCGTTAATCCCAGGATGAAATCAGAGAATCTTTGACAAGCATTTCAGAATTAATCTGGGTATCTATTTTCTTTCCTGCAATAATTCCAGGCAATTCCAACTTGTTCATTCTTGAAGTCTTTTATTTCTATATGCTTCTACGTTCCATGTTTCAAAGATAGCAAGTTCAAAATATATTGGAGACAGTAATACTTGGAAGCAGTGCCCTGGATTTCCTGCCCCACCTCCAGCAGGTGCTGCCTCTGAGTGGGCACCTGTTTGAGGGACTGGGGCAACGAACCATAGAACACCTGTTTGACTGTTAGCTGAACTGGCATGAACCGCTGAACCAGCAGCTCATGCCCATCTCTAGTTGCCACCTCTGGAAATACAAAACCTCTCTCTAGGCAGGTCTGCTGGTATGTCGGGAGACAAATCCAGCCATAGAGGAACAGAGACTATGATGGCATGTGACATTCCCAAGGCTCTTTTTTCAAGTAAGAACAGAATAAGGTGGCTATCTTAGGCAGCAGATGTTAGGAGTAGACATGGGGATAAATAAAAAAAGGATCGCGATATTCGTGAAAAATCGCTGATTCGTTAAATATTCATTCCTTCATATTTGTCAGTTCCAGAGACCCCGACAAATACAAAGTGACAAATATTTCCCCATTTTTATTCTTCCCCCATATGAAGAGAGGGAAGGCTAGCCTTCCCTCTCTTCCTATGGCTTTCCCATTCTGCCTATTGGCCCACTGATCAGCTGATCGGCTGGCCGATTGACAGCCCGCCTGCCCCATAGCCACCCACCCCCACAGCCTATTCC